TTCTGGTATTGAAAATTTCAGATCTCTAGATCAAGTATTCATATCTGAATGGACTCTTAAAAAGACCCAAAAGACACAAAATGCAGTCAGATATCGCGAAAAAATGTGATAAAATGCACTATTCAGAACAATTTATCTCTTAAATTTTACTTTTATTTACCATAATTTCTGATTCTGCCTCTAGTTAGTAATACCAATAATACATATGAGTAGACTTAAGGTCATAGTAAGTGTAGTTACAGATTTATTAACATTTAAAAATGGGAGAAGCAGTGTAGCAAGTGCAATTTTCACCTATAATTCATAATATTAAACTGCAGCTTTCAGGATTTTCTTCTCTAAAACAAGAATTCTGTGAGACCCCAAAAGACAGGATTCCATATCACTGTACCACCAAATATATATGAGAGTAGTTTCAGGAGGTTATATCAAATAATTATTGAACCATTGACACCTAAAAATATGCAAAATACAGTCAGAAATGGTGAAATTGTGATTGTGAAAAAATGTATGTATTCTTAACAATTTTGTAACTAAACTGTATTTTATTTAGAACTGAAACTTGAAGTGCTTACTATGAGTTACATCTAGTTATTATTTATTAAGTGACTTCAGCATCCGAATTGATATAATATAGGAATATCCTATGGTTTTGAAAAAATATCATTTATATCCATGATTGGATATTGATATTTTCATGAGTGAGCGCAGCGAGTGAGTGAAGATATTTGTATCCATGAGTGGATATAATTGATGATTTTGAAAAAAAAATTATTTATCCCATGGGAAATCATCATCAGCAAAAAAATGTGAAAAATATAATTTGAGAAAAATTTGAACAAATGATTGAAAAAAAATTGTGAAAAAATGTTGAAATGTTTTAAAAATGTTTTTGAAAATAATTTAAAAAATGTAAAAAGAAATTCTTTTTTGAAAAAATTCGAAACCATCGAATATCACTTTTTAAGACGTGATATTCAATAGTTTAAAAGTGATATTTGATGGTTTGTGAATTTTTTGCTAAAATATTATAACTTGATCCACATATCAAATATATCTTCATGTGATATTCGATCTATATCCTTGCAACCATCGGATAATCACTGATATGCTTAAGACCAAAAAACCTATAAAGAATGTTATTATTGAATACTGAGAATACATTGTTTTTACATTGCGGAGCTTTATTTCTACCTGAAAGTATTTTGGAACATATCTCTTGCTTAAACATTTCATGCAATGTTACTTTCAAAAACTTTCTTAGAACAATTAGTCCATCCTATACTTTCACATGTTATTCTCCATTTCATTTTTAAAAATTGTGGGAGCTTTAAACTCTAGAAGAGCTTAATTACCAATTATACCATGCACCCTCTTTGCCCTCCGTCGCATTTTTCTTAGGATGGCCAGGCATATTTCAAATTGAAGAGTAAAGTCAGTTAAAGTGATATATAGCTGTTTATAACCAGATAACAACGTATCTTTCACTTGATACTGTGATGTCAAGCTTAAGCATTCAAACAGTGTATTTTGTCCCAAGATACAATAAAGTACTGATTTCATTTATTTATCAATTCAGATGCCTTGGAATTAAAGTAAACACTTGGTATATATTACCAATATTATTTTTACTTATTATTGGTGGTACAATGACCAGGTTTCCTTTAATGTCTTTGGTCTTACTGTGCAGTTTGTAAAAAGAAAATTCAGAAAGTTGCAGTCTTAGATGAAAAACTGGTGAAAATCATACTTGCTACAGCTTTTCCCATTTTCAGAAGCCAATATATCTGTACTTCAACTTACTATGACGTTAAGTCTTCTCATATGTATTATTGGTGGTACTAACTGGAGGCAGAATCAGAAATTATGTCAAATAAAAGTAACATTTAAGAGATAAATTGTTCTGAATAGTGCATCTTTCATATTTTTCACGATATCTGACAGGTTTTTGTCCTTTTGGGTCTTTTTAAAAGTACATGCAGAAGTGAATATTTGATCTAGAGCTCTGAAACTTCCAATATCAGAACTTGGTAGCATTATGTCTTGGTATCTTATGTTTGGGGTCTAAAAAAGTCACAGATGTTGAGAAAAATATTCATTAAGCAGCAGTTTCAGTTCAAAGTTAGTTAAAACTGCACTCACGACAGCTTTCTCTATTTTTGCACGCCGATAGATCAGGTAAGTATTAGTATTAGGACCTTGAAACTGCTCATATTATGTAGTCTTTGTGGTACTTTCTCATTGCAAAGGTAATTTGGAAACACTGTGACTTACATTTCATGCGTTAGTGAACACTGAAAATGAAACAGCCTATTAGATTTCATCATGATACATTGTACAAAATTGAAAACGTATATATAAAATATGTAGAGTCCTATATTTTAGTAATGAATGAATTACAATGTCAAGCAACGAGTGAAAATGTTAAAAATGCATTGATTTGCTTTCTATCAATACAAGTTTTTAATTGTATGCTGCAAAATGATTAGATTGACCACACCCACTTTCCAGGGGTAGGGTACTATAAAGTCATATTAAAAATCATAAATATTACATTATCATTATTATAATTGTATTACAATATCAAACAAAGCTTGAATTAGGTTTTAGAAAACAATTTTGAGCTATTTAAGCTGCCATCTTTTGCTGGAAGCTACAAATATAAGATACGTGAGACTTAAAAATGACTAAAATTGCATATTTTTTTCCTATTAATTGCAATATTTCTGAGACTAATATAGATATCGGCCTATAACTTTAGGATATTATTCATCTTTGGACTAGTAATGTGTGCTGTAGAAAGCAGAACAATAGCAACTATATCCTTTATGTTATGAAATAGTCTTATAGTACCTCCTGAAATCGCAGGAATTGAAGTCCAATTCGGCCGTGAAAATTGTATTTACCACTTTAGAGGCCATCACCTTATATTTTCTTACACCTACTAGGTTACTCTAACATACTGCATTGCCAAAGGTTACTTCTTGGGAACTTCCGGCAAAACTGTGCCAGCATCTGATACATTTGGATAAGCCTGAAAATAAGCCTAAAAATGAGCCTTATATATAAATTAAGCAAAAATGTGACTTTGTATTCTGGAACATGTGATTGATGTGATCCTTTGAAATAAAATACCTAATATAAAATATTGAATTGTTGTTGTTCAAATGTTGTCATTCATCTGTTAGTACGTCACCCCAGGAATAACTTCATTTGGATTTGCTACATTGGCGTTGCAAATATTTAGTAACAAATAAAATGTTAAAAATATACTCAATGGATTAGTATACGTATAAACCTCAATTCAACATAAAAGTGATGGTCATGTGATTAGAAACAAAACTATTAAACGTCAACAGTTTGGATCACGATGCCCTAGAAATAGAAAAAATTGAAAAGGGATCTATTTATCCTAACGCCAATCCCAAAAACGAACAAGCTTTTGATTTTTCAAAAATAGAAAAATCTTTCTGAGAAGTGTACTTTTCTTCCATTGATTGCAGTTTTCGATGGAGGCAATTTTTCTTAATGCTTTGCTTGTTCAGTTTTTGATATTTGTTTAAGTGTAAAGACGATCATACAATTTAAAGCGAAGTATACATAAATTTAAAAGACCATGGATCCCATTTAAGTCATAGTTTTTGTCGCTTGGACAATCAGATGAGTTGATTATTTACCAAATACCTTACAATTCTATTTCTATACCTCGTTGGCCTTACTTCTAAATCATCTATTTGACTTTTTCGTAGAATTTAGAATAACAATCAGTATTCTCTTATCCATCGAGGATTGAAACTAGGGTCTACTAGAAACACAAGAAAATGTCAAATTTATTAATTTGATTTATTCGAATGTAAGCTCTCTGGAGATATGTAAAATGTTTGCGTTAACTAATCCTACAAAAAACTACACTCGGCTTCTTTTTATTGCAAATATAAAACACAGGGGTTGTTCGAAAAGTTTTGCACGAAAGCTTCTTAAGCATATATGAAATTTCAGGATAATGCACTGCAATGCACTTCTTGAGATACATTCGCTTAAAAAATGTAAATCTGGTCCATTGTCTATATGTCGTTATTGAATTGAATTTATTTTGTGAATGCCTTGATTGTCTGAAATGGTTCGGTCATCTTTGTTCTTTCTGCCGTTAATCAGGTTATGTTGTAACTAATTTATATTTTATCTAATGTATATGGTACTTAACATGTAGTCTTCCGTTTTAGTAATGCATTACTTGTCCTGTCCATAAGTAAATGTATCAAGATCCTACCTATAGGATATCAAGCCTTCTCATAACTACGGGTACCTTCAATACATTTTCCCTTCTCTCATTTCATCTTAGAATACTTAAGATTACCTATATTTGAGACATCATATGCAATATATCTTAAGGCATGAATGACTATTACTTGTGTATTACTGTTTCCCCATTCCTTTTCATGTATTCTATCTATTTTTCTGCTTCAATTCATAAATTCATGAGAACTTTGATAACGTCATAAAATCAAGTGATTTGTTCAAGATGTTTGAAGAGTATGTTTACAGTCATTCTTTGACATAACCAAAGAAAACAAGATAGAAAATATTCATATAAGATTCACTTTTACCATGAGAACAATACTAGATATTATTTAAATTTAAGTTAACACTTTATGCAAGTCTATGTTATGTTTATATCTAGCACCTATGTCCATCGTTAAGAGTCCAATCTTGGCTGCCATTTTACCTTTCTACTAAACATGAAACTGCCGACGTTTAAAATATCAAAACCCATCAGAAGCCAGTTCGATTTCAATTCAACTAGCTAGTTCTACATCTTTGAATCCAAAACTCTGGTTTCCGTTCATCCTCTCTATTGTCATTTTAACATACATTGTCAATAGTGAAATCTAAAAATAAGCTGACTTTTGATGACATTTTTAACTTTGGAAAGTCGTAATCATAGTAGTCATCGATGCCGTTCAAAACATTTACATTAACACGACTTGTATTTCCATGGTGATGGTAGGCAGTATACAAAACAGACTTTTCACTTCTGTCAATCTTTCCGGCGGCAAGGGCAACTCCTGGCATTTTGAGCGACTTATCGGCACCCAATCCTGGCATTTGGCCTTCTCCAGCAACTGTCTCCAAGAAACCAAACGCTGCACCGATTGGGGAAAATAACTTCATGGAAAGTGGATCTCCTCCCTTTGCTACAATAATGGCCTAAAATACATGTAAAATAACAGGTAATGTAGATTAATTCCAAAATACTCCTGCATTTATTACATATTTTATCTAATTGTGTTATCGATTCCAAGAGTCCAAAATAGTTTTCGAAAACAGCCTTTAACTTTTAACTTTAACAAAATGTATGAACTTCCTGAACACTAATTTTTTGTTGATAATCATAGTTTTGCGAATTAGCATTTAGTACAAAGTTAGACAAAATAGTATAGAAATGCTCTCTATTGGATATTGGATTTTTAAATCGAGATGTAATCCATGCCTTTAAACCATCGCTTTTGTTACATTGACGTAAGTCGTCAAAGTAACATACATTGATAATATAACGGAATTTTGTCAATGCAACACAAGCGAGGGGCTAAATATATGAGTAGCAGCTTCATTCACAAAACAAATTTCGAACCGAAGAAACTTATTAAAACTAAACTAACATACATTTTTGATATAACGGACTTTCGTCAATGTGCGAATGTTCAACGTTCGTCAAAAGCGAGGGGCAAAATATATGAATTACAATACAAATTTCAAATGGAAGAGATTTATTAAAACTAGACAATATTTTCTAGCTTTGTGTCAAATTATAATCTGCAATTTGACTTATAAATAGGTTTCAATCGAGAAAACAAAAAACAGGAAGTTCAACCATTTTGTTGCATTGACGTTCCGTCAAAGTAAGTGGCTGTGGAATAGTGAGTATGAAATCTAAGAATGGATGTTATTTCTGCCCATTTTTATTTTATTCAATATTGATAAGTATTACCTTTGAGATGAAAATTAGAAGAGTAGTCAGAATTGTTGTGAATAAAATCAGACATCCAGTTATGATGAACAGAGCATTTGGTTCAGTTGGGATCAAGAACGAGATAACAACCAATACAATGCTGGACAGCAGACTTATGAAGACAGCTACAGCAAAACCGGAAAAGTGAGTGAACCCTTTCTTCATTGACACAAACCTTAGTAAATATAAATTTAAGTAGTTTATATGTCTATGTACCTTTATGCAAAGGGACACGATGACAAACTTGAAAAATCACTACCCGTACATAATTAAATAATTGCTTCAGTATGTGAGAACATATATGTATTTTTATTAGTTATAAATATCACTTACAATGCTGGCCAAACTATTAATCCACCGAGCAATAACACAATGCCTTTGTAACATAGTATGGCAATTAGAAAGTAGTTCTTGTATGTAGATTCACATTCAATCATTATCGTTATTGTCCTTATCGAAGTATAATCGTCAAGCTATAGAGAAAAGCATACGATGTTTTTTTCAACAAATATATTCAGTTCTATGTTTCATGAAGTGTCGCACCCCGATGTCGCCTTATTCGTTTATTACTTAACATTAACCTATTTACTCCTTCCTAAACTTGCTTTTGTAAAAAATTAGGATCTGGCTGCTTCATATAAGCACGGGAGAGCAGTATCAGTTGTGTACACATTTTTTGGCCCAACCTGTATTATGTCGTGTGGCTTTAAAATGGGAATATTCGCAGTTATTTAACAAAAATTTATTTATTTTTTATAATTATTGATTTGTGTATGTTCTAAAAGCATTGCTCTGATCACAATATTTTGACGGCAATTGAGGAAACATGTTTTTATGTCCTATAAAAACCAGATCTACCGAGAATCTTTTTAGTATGATATTTAATCTAGCCGTATTCGTATTTCCAATTTGTTAAAAAAAGGATCTATTCACGTGTATCAATGCATTTTTTCTGTGCTGTTCCAATGTGTCAGGTCTTGTTCTGAATTAGACTGGTTAAAGTAAATATACATATATCATATTAATACTTATAAGATCATTATGTCTAGTAACATGCTTTATGGATGTGATGAGTGCAAATATCATATCCCGATCGGATAATTTGCATTTAAGATCTGATCTCAAATATAAAATAAAATAGCTTAAAATGAAAATCAGTTACGAGAAAAAGTCTGATTCATATCATAATTTTTCAGCAATATACGTACTGTTCGTTGTTGGCTAAATAACTTATATACACCCCATAATTTTACAGTCATTCCTCCGTAAAAGAACGTGAATCCAAAGATGAGAAGTCCAGTGGAGGCCTTAAATAAGGACATTGAAGTTTTACTTATACAAACTTTCCCAAATGGTGGCTGCAATGGAATACTTGTAAGTAATTCCTATGACAGAGGAATGACATAATTATCCTCTAGGTCATTGTTAAATGATAGATGAGGTATAAGGAGTGTTTCCCCGTAAGTATAACGTTAGGCACTGTCACGGATTTATCATTGGTGTACACTATGATTTTTCAGGCCCGTAGCCAGGGGGGGGGGGGGGTTTGCAGGGTTCGGGCGAACCCCCCCTGGCCAAATTTTATTTCAAAATCATGCAGTTTTTGACCATTTTGAGCACTTCTCTAGTGATTTTAGCCTAATTTGGGCCAAAATTGTCAAATGTGAACCCACCCTGGAAATTTTTGAAAATTGAACCCCCCCTTGGCAAATCCTGGCTACGGGCCTGTTTTTAATATTTGTTTTAAGTGTTATTCTCTGGTCTTTTCTCCTGCGATTGCATATTATTTAAGTGAACATACAATTGCCAAATCACAGGGTGCGTTAGAAAGATTTTTCATCATTGAGAAGCATTCTGTTTTACATTTCTGATTAAAGTTCAATAACGCTATTAGTCCATGGTATGAAATCTGTAGGGCGTCTAATAAAGGAGTCGGTAGCACACTATAACGCAGCGATATGTGACCTTACATTAACATACCTAATAATTTTTATTATAACCGTTCAATTTACTTCCGGCTTTTAGGCTGAATCATGCTTGCCATTAACAGAGGTCAAAAAATCACTAAAAAAATAAAATCCCAATTTTTCACAATTTGGAGTACATAATGCAACAGAAAATAAAATAATGCGAAATGATTTTAAATATATGATTTAGGTTACTAAGCTATAAGTTTGAGGTTATTTATCAATACCAAAAATATGTAATCAGTGTACCGACGTTTTGTATTGTTTCTCAGGTATTAATAAGATAAATGTTACAAATGAATCACTTTTATATTGGAATAGCAAATGTCTAAATTATGCTAGTTTTTCACAAAAGGGGTCTCAATACGTTTTGAGATATGGACTTTTATTTAGCTGTGAAAATGATCAATAAAGGCTGGCCTATTGCTCTTCCTTGACTAATTGGGGCTACAGCTAAAATTCTCTTTCCCGTAGTTGGATATAGTTCAGTTACTTATAAAACAACCATCAAGACTTGATCGAATTCATAAATAATTGAGAAAAATCGTTATCATTGTCTTTCTAACATTTGATTGTATCCAGCGGTAATGCCAAAGAACAAACGGCCATCAGAAAACTTGATGATAGCCACAAGTAACGTCGAGGAAGAATTTCAAGGCGTTCGATTGTATATGACTCTAATTGATAATTAGACATGCCTTTGGAATATATGAACATTCCAATACCTCTGTAACATTTAGTTAGATATAAATCTTACCTATTTGTTATTGTATTATGTTTTGTAAAACATGAACAATAATTTGTTGTTAGACCCCTTGCGATTATATGGAAAAATTCTGGCAATAAAATGTTTTAAATGATAAGATAACTAAATGTTCCCTATCATAAATTACCTAAATATTCCACATAATTTTGTTGAATCGGCTTGGCTCATATTTGAAAAATCTGAAAAACACACTTTCATAATTACACTAATTAAAAACCAACATCTACGGTAAAATTAAATAGTATATTTTTAAATTATGATAATATTTTTTTGTTCGTATGCTTAGAATAACGGTCTGTGTCTTGTAAAATGTATAAAAGTTCGAGTCAAAACATTTTCGTTTTTTGACTCTTTGTGATGAAAGACATTTTTCGACCCACAAGCCGGACGTTTTTTTCAGCAAATGGTATTTTAAAAGAATAAAGACATGTACACCTTCATAAATATTGCTTCAAATGTTGCTGCGCTATAGTGTGCTACGATCGTTCATATTCGGAAGTCATACCATGGACAATATGAGTTAAAGGGATATTGAAGCTATTCGGATTCTGAAAGTGATTTTTAAAGAGAAAGTGAAAGTCAGATCTTAGAAGTCATATCATAAGTTAAATTGCATTAAAACTTTATTATTGGTATAATTTATAAAGCAATTGTCAAAGCTAAAAATGTGAACTCTTTAGAGGATAGCAAAAAGAAAAAACAAAAGAAAAACCAAAACATTACAACATATCATCTGAACAAATCAAGTGAAAATGACACTAGTAAAATATGAAGGCCATAATGCTACATGTATTTTGACAAAACTGATCCATTTTTTATGGAAATACCACAGAGGAAGACAATGAACAAACTACATTTTACTGCTTGTTTTCTGTTGGCTAGGTAATATGTTAATGACGTCACAAATTAAAATATAATAAAGACTGTGATGTGTGACGTTTAGCTTTCTTGTCTGTTTAGTTGATAGGGCAATAAGTAACTGATGTCATAGTTTATGTTATATTACGTCATATCTTCATCACAAACACATCATATGACGTCGTGATCGTTGCTTTGATGATTTGCCACATAAGGTAATAATGGCGAACTTTTGGTCACGTGAATGGTCGACAGTCGGTCCATAGAACGAATGGCTCCGCCCACTTCGTGGGGGGCCTTCGTAAAAATGTGAACTCTTTAGAGAATAGCAAAAAGAAAAAACAAAAGAAAAACCAAAACATTACAACATATCATCTGAACACAATAAACATTTAACCAAAATAAGTTCAAGATGCTTTTTGGTGTTTACAGTGTATCACATTGAAATAGAAACATAGATGTTAAGCATATAATTCGCGGTTTGATTGTTACAATGATTTGATCATTTCAGAGTACGGAGGGTTCATTTGCAGCGTCCTTTTTGATAAGTAATTAATTATTTTGCCTACCAGACATATATCTCTATGTAAAGGCTCCGGCTGTACACCAGTCTGTAGATCACCTATGTGAATCAACACATAGACGTCAAGTAGAATACAGCCAATAATGATCGCACACGTCATAATCGGCCATTCGTCTTTTATCATTCTAAAATATTAAATAAGCAAGGTGATACAAGCTAAAATTTATAGCTGATATCATTGTTATCTATTGTATTGTCGGAATTCTGTTTTAGTGATAAATGTTTTGCGTTTTACAAATTTATTCAAACCTGTAGTTGTAAATATAATTATTTTTAGATATAATAATTATATGTATCTATGGTATATAATGGCATAGATGATGTCTATCAATGCTAGTAATAATAATACGCCTATAATGATACTTACACCGTTGTGTGCAATTGTATACACGATGTATATGTTACGCGGTAAACACGATACAAAAATATGTCATATTCCGCAACAAATATGGCATATTCACTTTCGGTGTATGACAGATTCACCTGTGGTAAATGGCATGCTCACTAACTAATGAGAACGTGATACGGAAGTACTCAATTGTCAATTGCATCAATTGAATGAACAAGTATATTATTATATTGATTACTGAATCAACAGTACTGTGTATCGAATATATTAATTTAGCAAAAGTATCAGTCACCAATCTTGCGTAATAAACTTACTCAATCAATCTAGAATAATATATTAGTACTCGACACACTACCTACATTGGCAATCCAGAGTAGTTTTACATTTAGAGTCGATTCTCGCAACCAATCAAATCAAGGCTTTCTGTATCACGTTTTCACCTGCGGTATATGTCATATTCACCTGCGGTATATGGCATATTCCGCAAGTGAGTATGACATATTCCGCATGTGAGTATCTGGTATTCACTGAAATCAATGTATCGCATATTCACTGTGGAATATCGCATACTCACCTACGGAATATGCCATATACCGCATGTGAGTATGGCATATTCACCCGTATCACAAATACCGCGCAACCATGAATGTATGCCATATACCGCGTAACAGTATATATACGCTAGTAGTATTCCTATGCCAGCAAATACAGAGCGTACGACAATAGCAGTCTTACTAATACGGCTATGATGATACTTACACATGCCCGTTGTGTACAACTGCATACATGATGTAAATCAACGCTAGTGCTATTCCAACGCCAGCAAATATAGAGAGTACTGTTATAGCAATCTTACTTATACGTCTACGGACAACATGCTCTATTTCAGAGTCGGTAGGTGTAATTCCGCCTAAGGTGTAGAAAATGGAAAGGTTTACCTCATTTCCCATAAAGTGCCACTATATTTACATATCGATAAGATGAGTGTACACGATGGGTCAAAATATGTCTACCTTTTTCATTTTTTCATTTTCAGATCTTTACTAATAATAAATCATAGATATATTCTTGATGTAGACAAAGAATTAAACATAACAGGTATCGCAAGACAACTTATAAATATAAAGTGCAAATGCCATGGGGAAAGGACCAAACACCAAAAAGCGAACTCTTAGTGTAAACCTGCCATAATTATAAGAAAAATTGGCCAATAAAAGGGTTGTTCAAGAAGTAATGCACTATATGCTCTAACTATTCAATTCAGCTGAAACATTACCTTTTGACTTCCATATAACGTCAGCGGGTTCTGTCATCTTCAGGTTTCTCTCTCTCTTCTTGAAAAAGCCGATATTGGACAATGTCGCGTTGGCTGAAAGTATAAACATACTTGAGAATGCTGCAAGGTACTGAAAATTTGTTACTATTAGAGAAACGTTAAAAACGATAAGTAAAGCAACATGGTGACCGATAAGGTACATTCGGGGTTTTATATTTTGCAAAAATAAAATTTATACAAGGTAGGTATAATTGACATACCGTTCAATAACCCAACGTAACTGTCAATCTGTCTTACTCCAGATGTTTCGTTGTAATACTAAAGACCCTGAAATAGAAAATATATTATTTTGTTTTTAACCTAACTTAGGTTGCAACATAACCGACTGGACTGTACTCTATTTTAAAGAATAAACAACCGTAACAAAGAGGTGTTGATACTTTTTCTACTGTGTTCAAAATGTACATGTACACTTGGCAAGCTATCCAAAATTAGTGTGCACAAAAGACAATTGCTCAATGTTTACTGGTGGACTGTCACATGGTGTGCACCGAGGCTCAACTATTCACTCACTCACAACCACCATTGCACTGAAGCTGAACTTATTGTATCCACTCACTCACTTACCTGTATCAACTGACTTACCCTTAGTTAAAGAGACATTATAAAAGAAATCAAATTTTCCAGATTTGATCATTAACCATTTACCTTTCACAAGAGTCTGTGTGAGGTTAATTGTCCACTGCTATTATTTTCTAATATTAAGTGTCAACGTAATGCAACTAATGGGTCGATAAATTACAAATAAAATGTCTTACCGACACTCCGTCAAAGTCCTCTTCGAGAAGATTTTTGTAAAGTGATTCTAGTAACGTTTTGTTTTTGTCACTGTTGTGCTTATAATTCTTTACTTCGTCTATGCCATACTTCTGAATAGTTGTATTGATCGCCAATGCTATTGCCCACATGTTGTCATATAACAGAGCCTGGTAATGTCTTGCTGTAGAGGGAGTAGTTGGCTTTAGAATATGTGCCAAATCATCATATGTCTACAAAATGTGTACCATATTATATGTCTACTAAATGCTTACATCAACATCAAGAGTCTATTTTAAAATATCTATTAATAAACAGACTGTTTTGTTGTTAATCATTTTCGAACAACAGGTTGCTAAAATGTACCAGAAACTGTCTTGTTTTAAGGTAGTACTTCACACTGTATCAGCTTTGTAAAATTCAGATTTTCTTTAAAAAATTAATTTCTTTCTATAAGGCAACAAATTTATGTATGAAATATTTGAGAAAATTCACCGTCCAGATCTTGAGAAAAATAATTGATTTAATTTAAATTATTAATTATGTTATTCCATTGGATATAATGACTAAATCTGCCATATAAAGGTCTAAAACTAATAAATATAAGAAGGCCTAGTATGTGTCATATCAAAAGTATAAAAATACGAAGTTGTTCCAAAAGGTGAAATAAAAGTTAAAAAGAAAAGAAAAAACAACCAATGCAATTAACGGGTGCGCGAATTATATATTTTCTTATTAACTATATCAGCCCAAGCCCCAGCCCATACCAATCCCCTAAATTACATTCCCCTATTTATTCTTTTCGTATACACCTATTTTACATGTCATGTATTAAAATTAATCAATTATGTAGCTAATGATGTAGCTATCGTCAAACATAACGCGCAAAATACATCAATAAACTCCAAAAATCTCCCTTTTCACGTAGTATAAAAGGATATTCATGGTCGATTGGAAAAATTTCAAATTATGAAAAAACATTATCCAAAATAATATATGCATACACTTTACCTTATTCGTTGAAAAATGCCTGTGACCGGTGAATATTCCAAGGGTGGTCGAAACAAATTGAGAACAAACTATAGCTCCTTCAAGAACTTCTAAAGCTTGACTTGAATTGCACCCATGATTAGCCTTATCTATGAGATCCAAGGTTGCGAAAGGGTAGTAGAAGGCCAGTAACACGTGATGTCGTCCGTACAGTCCAAGTTCATGAAGCTTAATACAATAATTATTGTTAGTACCTCACTTGAAATACTCGATTTTGAATGGTCAACGAGCGGTGAATAATTTTAACTGTACACCGCGCAATGCATTGCCGGTGAATAATATTCCCAGCATTCCACTAAAATGACGTCATTATCAGACGATAAAATGGCCGCCGCTAGCACTAGCCGTTTCAAAAATGTTGAAGATGAGGATATTATTAGTCTCTTAGAGAGTAAAAACAGTCAAAATACGAAGAAAAATCTAAAACTTTGTACAAAGCTTTTAGTGGACTTCGCCCAGGAGAGTGTTTGAAATACAACATGAACGTCTCGAGGGTCTGGATCCAACTTCAAGTCAACTTCAAGGGTCAGAAGAAATTCTTCGGACTAACAAAACAATTATAGACCTCTCCATTCGGTTTACTGTCAAAATTATATCCCTCGACTGTAAACCTCGACCTACGGTCTCGGTTTACAGTCTCGGGATATAATTTTGACAGTAAACCTCTGGAGAGGTCAATAATTATATATTATATCATTAATATTAGGTATACATTAAGCATTACAACTTAAACTTAAAGATACCCTGCTTAGTTTGAAGATTGTTTTATCTTTCAGATATTGTTTTACATGACTAAACATTGTTTCAGAAGTTGTTTGACATTCAATTTTCTGATGTTAGATTTTCCACAGTTTTAGCCTTACAAGAAATTGTAGATCATCAATCTCATTGTTGATACATTACATCCATTTGCATTCCTTTATTAGCACTATTTAATATTCAAAGGAAACAAGTCAAGCATTTTTAAAGCTAAACCCACATTATATCTCGTTCTTCAAAAAATGCCAAGACAGAATATGTAAAGTATTATAAAAAAAATAGGTTCATGTTATGTTTTTTTAACACGAGGTGAAGTGATATGATATCCTTATTTTACACTACAGTTTCATTGGTATCTATCGGAACGTCCCTCGAGTAGATTACCCAACAACATCGATCTCTAAGTTTAAAAGAACAAGCCTAAATGTACATTTTGGAAATGTTAATGTTGATTAATAGATCTCTGAATATATACTATAAAATGTCATTTATATAATTTATATAAATAATCCATACCTTGCACAGCACCTTTGCAAAGTCCACCTCCAAAAGCGCAAACGAGACAAATATCCTAAGGCCCTTTAATACAAACATACGATAGTGATGTTTGCATTTCCAATTGCTTCAGAAATAAACATGTAATAATTTTATTAAATTCAGATAATATTTCGTCACAAATCCTCTTAGCAAGACAGTTAAATAAGAATTGAGAGAGGATAGTAAATGATAAAAAACTATTCAAAAGTAGCTTTCCACGGTAGTAATTTTACTTAGATATTGTAAGATTTTTGTCATATTTGTTCGATTTTACCTTCAATGGTTCCCAAATAACATCGGGTACGTCATGTGATTCACTTGCGAACAAAACGTCAGCGTATGATTCTATATTTCGTTCAGCTAGTTTCTCCCTGAACACACTAGCGGCCTTGTGATAAAGAATATAAATATGAATGTATGAAGTAGCTAATTAGCCTGTTTGAATCAGTTACTGATGCCATGTATAGACCCTTGTCAATCAGCTTTCACTTGAGCATTTTTTATAATTGAACCTTTTTGATCTTGTGTTACTTAAGAGGACTATAACCCAAAAGTTCAACGATGATAATACATTCATACGCTTATAATGTAAATCTGTATTGAGATGGTATACGTCTCTGATTCGTCGAAATCGACAAACAAAATGGCGGACTCAAAATTTTCGAAACACGATTCTTCTTCTTCAACATGTATTGTAATGACTTCAGTATGAATGAAATGTCCCTTAGTGTTCTGGTCCTGAATTGTGATATTGGTTCTCGATTGGAGGGGGAGGGGATGTTAGACATTGTTTCTTTTCACGTTAGATTATGGTTTTTGGATATATAGGGTCTACTTTTCTTATGGCAGATTTACACTTACAGTTTGCTTTTCTTGTTGGGTTTCTTAAAAGTTTTTAGTCACCCTTCCCTTTGGCTTTTGCGCTTATATATTCGAATAATATTATGTCAATTTCATTGTTATGATAGCTTGTTATTTCACATCAAGATGAAGAAGGTGTAAAGAATCGAGAGTGGTACGCAAGAGATTTTTGTAACTATGTATAGTAGAATATGTTGACGAGAGGGGTACATAATTCTAGATGTGATGGATATCATGTATTAATTGCGATGCAAGTCAAAATTGCAGACGGACGAAATGTCTACGAATTTGTGACAAAAAAACGTGAACTGAATACAAAATTATATTTTTTTGTCAAGTGAGAAATCAAGACTAAACGGGTATCACTTCAGAGCGGGCCACAATGTCAAATGCCATGGAAATAACAGAAATGACAGACATTGATATAAAGTGAATTAAGTAGTTGGGCATCGAAAACATATAGTCTAATACAACCTATACACAAATGCAACGGAATAAACAGAAGGTGACATACAATATACAGGGTGTTTCTTATTGACCGCCCCCCCCCCAATCAGCCGCCAATCCTAAATAGCACACCATCATATGAGCCTGGCCATTGGAAAACCAGTCTTATCACAAAAATTAAAATTGTGCTACAGAGCCAAAAATGTGCCCAAGATTAAGAAGAAAATGTGCTAAATTAAAACCCCACTTTTTAGTCGATATATGCAAGGAAAATTGTTAAGTCATAAGTCATGGCTCATTTGAAATGTATTTTTGTGCTTTTTAAGATAAACAAAAAAAATATTGAACAATCTGTGATAAGAACCATTTTCCTGTGGCCTGGCTCTAATGTTATATATCATATGAAAGCTTAATGATATGTTCAATTCTGGACAATATACAACATTTTCTTAGACCCCTCAATATCATTAGTAATACAAAGGAAATTTTGGTTGATTTAACAAAAAGTATTTAAAAAATTAAAACAAAAAACCCCGAAATATATAAAAAATTAAGATTAACAAGTTCATTGTTTTACAATTACAATATTGAGAGACCTAAATACGTTGTGTTTATGTCATTTGTTTCAATGAGGTTCGGATAAATGTTTCATTCCATTCCGAACATATGATAACAAGAACAAAAGAAGTGTCTGATGTGTTTTCTAAAACAATATTGAGATAAGTATATATTTACTTCAAATTATATTGTTACCATTCAAAAGATGACCATTGAATTGAATCCTTTATTATGGTATATAGATTATGGGGCCATGTGATCTAGGATTGGTTGTGGATGGGGGGACGGTCATTATGAAACACTCTGTAGAGTTAATATAGGAAGTAGGCATTAAGAGCATACAGACTTTACACGATTGTTTGAATGATTTTTATACGTTTATAAGTTTTTACTTTTTTTTTGTTTTCAGTTAACTAGTAACCCTTACTTACCCTCACTTCAAAGGAGAATCAGATATAGAGTTTCTTCTTAGATTTATTTTTCTCTTGAATAAATATTAAGAGATCAATTCTTACTTCGACTTCTTGTTTACTGGAAAAGCTTGAACTTAATATTGACAATCAAGGATTAAAAGCCAATACGATCATTCAAAGTGTCGAATGTTCGCGTCTTTTTAGTAGCTTCGTATTACATACGGGTGACACAATTGTACAAACATGACACCCGCCTTACATTGCATAACTTTTTTTTTTTTAACTTGTTTGTTGATTCACAGTTGACTTGTCATTAAGCACCTAAAAAGAAGACATAATGCGAGAGCACCTCGAGAAATTTCAGATGTGAAGCTCAAAGTCAAATTTCATCATGAGTGTTACAACATTCTTCACAAAAAATGCCAACCAGCTTTTGCAACATAACTTGTAAATACTAATGATTTTGGCTTGTACCTTCAGGAAAATGAAGTTCATCCAATTAAAATAATGTAGTTGTCATTGATAAAATCTTAAGTCCAAAATGATGTTACAAAACGTGGGTGTCTTTTTGTGTAAGATCAAGTTGTGCCAGTGAAGGAATATACGACAAATTTTGTAACCCATAAATGTGCATCTAGGTGGGCTAGGCATCTGAAACTTTTTGTGGAGTTGCAAAACAGGGTGCAGTTTTATTGTGCCTAACACGAGTCAGAATTTATTTTCAGACAAAATGTAATAAAACATGTTCTTCCGACGAATTATCATTCAGGAGCACGATTGACATCGTCATTGCATGTGATGACTGCTGACTCATTTTCTATAGCTTTCAAATTGAAAAACAAATAGTTTAAAACCATTGAAGCTAGAACAAACTACCTGCTCAGACACATTGTCCAAATAAGTTATTACAATAGGTGTAATACATCCATGGTATTAAATACGATGCTAGTGTTTACTATCATTTTTTATTGCAGTCTACTTACATTAGGCATTATGTCATTATTGGCTGTTATTATTCCCATCTTTTCCCACTTAAAATGCTGTATAATCGCATCGAAAACTAAAGAAACATCAGAGTTTTCAGCAACTGCCTTGGTGTAGTATTTATACGTTTTGGCGTCAAAATCCGATTGCATACCAATAGAATTCTGGAAAGGTATAAACCAATGTTATATCATTTGACCTACCGTTTCAGATTTTAATACACCCTCTTAAAAGTTTTGAATGACCGATAACATGGTACCCTACCTTTTACTCTCCCTCTTCAACTTAGGAAATGCCATGGGGGGGGGGGGGGTCATCTGACCCCCTGTCCATAAGTGTTATGAAATTTACGTTGTTCACATTAGGGTTATAAGTACTATAAGTAAATGTGTAAATAGAATTTTAATTATTGCTCAATCCCATGCTATCGTTTTTAAAATCTTCACGTGTGTGGTGGGACAATGGATGCTGTTCTGAAATGAACCGATACTAATATAATATCTTATGTCCACGTATCTAATAAACTACATATACTATGGATTAACTCTTAATTACGAGGGGTGATCCAAAAGTCTTGGACGCCCCGCTCTAACTTTGCTATTTTTTAATATAACTACATGAAACTTTCAGGTAATAAAGATCAACATCTTAACAATTTTATGTATAAGTTTCAACAGAAAATAATATATTTTAGCTACTTTTCTACATATCTTTTAATACCGGGTCCCCGCCACCCGGAACGGTATATAAACATAGCAAATCACGTCACAACTGTTATAATATGGCAAATACTTTAGGTGCAGGTGTACAACCTAACACCAGCCATGATATGAGAGAATTTTTGATTTTCAATCTGAGTGTCATCTGCCATCATCATCTTCACATATTAAGACCTACTTTTCAACATATTTTCCACGAATTTGAACACATTTTTCATACCACTTTACCGATGAATGGAAGACATTTATGAAACCGTCATTGCTTATGTGATACAAATGCTGCTGGAGTGCTACTCTAAACCTCATTCAATGAGTAAAAAACATTTTATTTCAACCATCCTTTCAACTTGGAGAAAGGGAAGAAAATTACATGGAGCCATAGATAGACTGTATCATGCATAATGTAGCTGCTCAAGGTCAATAATAGTGAAAATATCTTGTAGTATTCTTTGTTCCACTTTGATTTCTTTCGTGTTCTGCATTTCAGCAGCCATCTTGGAGCAAACATGATACCAGAATGAGGGTTGCTTGTCAGATGTCATTTTATTTGAATGTGACATATATGGCCATCCTCATATGTGACATTATAATTAAAACACAATTAATTGGTTGCCTAGTAACAAAGGAAGTAAACTAACATGGTTTAACATTCAAAATTCAAAGAAATATAGTGGTCAAGACTTGCGAAACAAGTGAAACGACGGTAACATTTGAGGCTGAAAGTTGCCATGTGCTAATACCGTTCCGGGTGGCAGCGTCCCTGTATTAAAATCTATCTAGAAAACTGTACAAAATATATCAGTTCTCCATGAAATTAATACACAAAGTAGTTAGGTTGTTGGTCTTTATTATTGGAAAGTTTAAAGTAATTTTATCAAAAACCAACAAAAATAGAGCAGGGCGTCCAAGACTTTTGGATCACCCCTCGTATATTTCAGTATTTAGAAATCTCCATCTTGGTACAATAGCCTCGAGACTCACTGCCAGGTGCAGCCACATATTGGCTAAATGTAACACTCAAAAGCAAGTAAACAATTTGGTTGTTCTAAGATACAACTAAACAAATAGAAAGACATGTACATTTGTAACTGTACGGACGACCATATCTTATTTTTTGTCATTCACAGAGATGATGATAGAAAATAACATTGCATGGTCAGACCCATGAGAAAAAAGCTGTTACGATTTGAAAGTGTTACATACCACTATACACCCCCACACAGCGCAGACTGGTATCGTCGTGTCTTCGTCAATCCAAGGGATTAATATAAAGGGTGTATCATGTCCCCTGTAGATATAATCCCACAATTTTGTGTTCACGCCCACCACAGAGTCGTTCTTAATTATAAAATGTTCATTCATTTCAGATTTATTCTAATATTTATGTTAAAAGTTGTGACGTTGTCTGCATAGATTTTCTCTGTGTCTCGGTGATGCAGTATTCGAAGATTTTCGTAAGACCCGCCTTGCAGGGTATGGCTGGCAATCTGGACCAATGAATCGTCATAATTTAACGCTGTAAAAAACGATTTTATACGCAGTTAAAAAACAATTTTACGGCGTCAGAAATGACGGTCTACGCCGTTAAAATCATTTTGTAGGGCGTCAAAAACTGTTTTTAACGGCGTCAAAAAATGATTTTGCACAATGAATCAAACTACTGGCATTTTAAATAATTGTAACGCAGTTTTGATTGGATGCCAGCTAAGACGTTATTTATATGTCACATACATTTCTTGACGCCGTTCAAAACCGTTTTTGACGCCGTTTCAAGTAGATTTTATGGCGTTGGATGTATGACAATACATTGGTTCAGATGGTCAGTCGTACGCAGAGAGGATAAGAGGTTTGACAGAAGTGGGATTTTGTATATTTTCTAGTTTGTATAGACGATTCATAAAATTATGCGAACAATAGTCCATTGTCTTATTTTGAGATTAATTTTTTGAAAACGATAGATTTCAATCAAAGGACGATTCTCGGTTTGGAGAACAGTCTCCTGGGCTAATATTTTTTTTCATGAAAAATATAGAAATATTACCCAAATTAAACTATGAATATTCAAAAGAGGACATTTAAATCTACAAGATGTAAAAATATCAAATTGGTCTGGAGCAGGGATAACGCTCAATTAGACCGATTTTAATAAAATACAAGTCTCTATTTAGGGAAAGAAGTTCATCAGTGTACTGCGCTAATATTTTTTTGAGAAAAATCTAGAAATATTACCCAAATTAAATTATGACTATTCAAAAGACGACATTCAAATCCATATTATGTAAAAAAATCAAATTTGTCCGAAGCAGGGATAATGCTCATTTAGATTGATGAACTTCGTTCTCCAAACCGAGAATCGTCCTTTTGGCAGGATATGCAGATATCAATTACACAATCGCTCCTGGAGTGGAATAAATAAATATTTAGTTGTTCTCGAATTATAAGAAACAAGTTCTTTGATGTGTGGGTTCAATCAAGCACCACACTTATCTTTCTTACAAAAAATAAGATCAGAATAGCTTTTCCTGTACAGGGAGATTTTCCCAAATCACCTCTTTTCTTTATTCTGAATCAGTTTTTCGTCTTCTTATTTGTTTGTCTTGTATTATACTTCCAATATTACATTTTAGTCTGTAAACTATTTCAGAATATACAGAACACCATAATCCATGTGTTTCTCTGACAGTCTGGATAATATAATGATATCAAATACTATATTTTGAGACATGACCTTTGAATTACATCCTGAAAAGATGGGTATCAATATGGCGAACTTTTTGAACTCACGTTTCTCTTAAACCAGTCATCAAAAAATTCTGAAAATTTTACACATTGTCAATTTAACGGTCATCTTTTGAATGGTAACAATATAATTGGGATAATATATATATAATATCATCTATATTGTTTTAGAAAACACATCAAACACTTGTTTTGTTCTTGATATCATGTTTCCAGAGTGAAATAAAACATCTTTCCGAACCTCATTGGAACAAAACGACATAAACACAACATGTTTAGGTCTCTCAATATTGCAATTGTACAAAGGAGATTTGGGTTGATTTAAAAAAAGTATCTTGTTAATGAAATAAAAGGTTTATCTTGATTTTTATCTATTTTGGGGGGATTTTGTTTTAATTTTTTGAATAGTTTTTTAAAAGCAACCAAAAATTCCTTTGTATAACTATAATATTGAGAGGTTTAAAAACATGTTGTATATGTTATTTTGTTCAAACAAGGTTCGGAAAGACATTTTATTTTATTCTCAAGAATTGGTAGAAAGGAGCAAAAACAATTGCACTAGAACAACAAAAAAATGTTAACAAAAACAGTTATATAAAATATTTCTAAATAATTTTTGCATTAAATTGTTGTCAATCAGTCAACATTACATAAAATACTGTGTTTTTTACAGAATGTTTTTAATGATTGGTTTAAGAGAAAAACATTGTTGAATTCAGTTCTCCATATCGGTACCACTCCTTTAGATTTTTCAAATAGACCCCAACTAGGCTAGTGTATTTCAACCGTTATTGTTTAAGAACCCCTGATTATTTATTCCACTCTACGAACAGTTGTAAAATGATTTTTTGCATATCCATGCATTTTAAAAAAATGTGGACGTTTTTTGGCCCATCCTCTACTCATCACGCAAAGCAACTATTGAGTATTTTAGTTTTTTAAAACCATAAATACACAGCTCCACAATAATTCAAAATTCAAAGAATATTCTTTTCTATCACTTTTTGAGTCAGAAATGCACAAAATAAAGTTCTTTCATTAACGCATGCTTTGCATAACGTGAGAAGACTTTATTTTTTATAAATCTGTCTGGTTTTATACAATTTCCATGTAAGTTTCACGAGTATAACCATTCGCCAATTTTTCTCTCATTATTGCTTATATATATATATATAGTTATAAATTTAGACTTACTGGTAAACATTGATCCAGCTCCAGTCTGAATAAGGGAAACAAGTTAGCGGCATTATTGACATCCAAAACCGCCTGCTCTGCGAACTTGCATGCGTCATTTAAGAATCCATATGAGCTAAAAATAAGATTTCCTATCAGAATCGTATCTCGTTTTTTCAGTGTTGATGTAACATTATCAGTAGCTCCAAACGTGATCAAAAGTCCGACGCAAAAAAGATTTACGATGCAAAAATTTATGGTCATGATGTTCTATGTGTTAGCCTACTTGCGACTTAACTAAGGCTTTAATTTTAATCAGTATATAAAGGTGTAAGAGACTGACATTTGGGTATAAATAGCGTTGCATTGTTGTAGGTTACAAAGCGGAACTTGTTTTTTGAATGTACGGCCTTTAGAGGAGTTTTATTTTACAAATAACAAAAACATAATTCAACATAAGAGACTCATTTTCAAACATGCAAGCATGGCTGGGACTTTTTCTTGGGCTTGATTGCTAAGTATTTTTGGACTTTTTCTTATACCCACTGGTTAGTTTTGCCTATGGAAGATGCACTTCACATGGTCATTCAATATTTGTATCGCCCCCCCCCCCCTAAACCTTGCTCAGAAAAAAACGTTTCCTGGATATAATTCAACCTGAACCTTTAATAAAAACGCACAATTTGAACATGTATTATTTTTTCAATATCCATACAACCGATACGATTAATAACACTTAATCATTTGATTTGCTTAATTATACAGTATCTTTTTGTAATTGTGAAATATAAAGGCTCCACCATTGAGTTAATAAAAAAGAGTCACCAAGTTACTTTATTCAACAAATAACCACTTTCATTCACATTAGCTAGAATCTTGGCATCATGATCATATTATTCCCTTTCATGTTTATTTTTTACAAATCCGAAAGTGTTACCATCTTTAGAAAATGCATAAATATAGGATAAAGTGGAAAGCAACGATGTTATTTCCAATGCCATTTTCACATTTGAAATATTTTGGATAAATCAGTAAATATAGAACAAAATAGTGATTCTATGTGATACTTTGAGATTAACTAAAGTATATTTTTAAGACGTGTAACAGATAAAGAAGTCAAAAAAATTATTGATAATTTAAAAGATTCAGCAGCAGGGTATGACGAAATTAAACCAATAACAGTTAAGAGTTCAAATGACATATTCACTCCTCCTTTGCTCCATTTGACCAATTTATCTCTCTCGACTGGTGTCTTTCCAGATCAATTGAAAATAGCCAAAATTATTCCAATCTTCAAAAAGAATGATCAAAGATACTTTAGTAATTATAGGCCAATATCACTTTTATCAGTTTTTTCTAAAATATTTGAGAAAATTATGTATAATAGAGTTGTTGAGTTCGTTGAAAAATTCAAAATAATCTGTATCAATCAATTCGGATTTCGAAGGAATCGATCTACTTGTTTAGCTATTTTAACTTTCCTAGAAAACCTAAGGAAAGCTATGGAGAATAAACATTACAGTTTAGGGATCTTTTTGGATTTAAGTAAAGCCTTTGATACGGTTAACCATGATATTCTACTTACTAAATTGAATTTTTACGGCTTCCAGGGTAAATCTTTGGATTGGTTCAAAAGTTATCTTAGTAACAGAAAGCAAACTACTTTTTTTGAACATGAATACTCGGATATGAAAACAATACAATGTGGTGTCCCTCAGGGATCCATTTTAGGCCCCGTACTTTTCATCCTTTACATAAATGACCTAATCTCTACTAGCAATTTATTCAAATATGTAATTTTTGCTGATGATACAAATATTCTTTGCTCTGACAAAAATATTTATTCCTTAATTGATATAGTGAATAATGAATTAAAAACTGTAGATGATTGGTTCTGTGCTAATAAACTCTCATTGAACATTGATAAAACCAACTTTATGGTCTTTACAACTTCACAAAATAGGGTACCAGATAATATTTCAATCAAAATTAGAGACTCTTACATTATTCGTGTTTTTTCAACAAATTTTCTTGGCGTTATAATTGACCAAAATTTAAATTGGAAAGAACATATTCGAAAAATTGCACTAAAAATTTCAAAAACCATAGGTACTCTATTTCGAATAAAACACAAACTCAGTATCAAATCATTATTGAATATCTATTACTCACTTATTTATTCACACTTACAATATTGCATCCCAGCTTGGGGTGGGACAGGAAAAACACATATTGATATCTTATTAAAGCTGCAGAAAAGATTTGCCCGCTTAGTTACTAATAGTGAATATAATAAAGCACCATCATCACCTTTATTTCAACAACTAAATATACTGAAAATAAATGATATTTATAAACTCAATGTTCTTATCTTTACTTACAAATGCATCAAACGTCCATACAATTTTCCGAATGACTTATTTTGCAATTATTTTCAAGCAAATCAGCAGGTACACGACCATAATACAAGACAGACTGACAATCTTCATATTTCCAAATTTAGAACCAACTATGGCAAACGAAGTATTAAAACTCAAGGGGGAATAATCTGGAATTCAACTCAAGATGTTATCAAAAATTCAAAAACCATTTTTATTTTTAAGCGAGCCTTCAAAAGACATGTAATTAGTCTCTATGATTAGTACCCTGTACAAATTTTTAACAGATGCACCTTTTTCCATTTAGCTATTCTACATCATTAAAATGTTTTATTACACTTTTTATAATGTACATCATTTTTATTTTTATTTATTTCCCAGTTTGGCTTACATAATTTATACTTTGAGACACTTTGTAACATCAATAATAAATGTAACTAACAATATGCCATTTTTAAATATTTTAGCTTGTGATAAGACATACACCCACTAGGGTGTCATTATCACTTATATGTATATATGTTTATATGATTTTAATAAATAAAAAATAAAAAAAACTATAGAAACACGTGACTTTTTATCGCTGGCTCTCCGGGCCCTCGAAATAAATCATACTGTCCCTGGAAATAAAACCCAAATCCCTTCCAGTAAACAATCTCCATGTGTTCCGCAGTAATGCCAACAAGTCGAGTCATATGAAATGGTCACCCGTAGTGGGTATTGATAAATGCAATTCCCAAAATTGATTAAACAATGTTTGACTGATTTCGTATAAAAAATCTTTTTTGAACGAAAGTTAAAGTTACTGCATTTTTAGCAGTTCTAATTGAACGCCTTGTATAAGTTCACATCCGAAAGTGTTCTGAAATTTAATTTTGCCCTCAATTCAATGAAACGGTTTGCTTGGTGAAAACATTAAAAAAATTGGTAATCGTTGCTGGATGAGAGTATACAGATTGACTTTATGTATACAGGCATTTCAATTTATTTTTTATGCTGTTGAAAGCAATGTATACATAAACACACACATAAAAATTAAATTCAAAAGACTATGAACCCCATTAAACTCATCGTTTTTGTTGCATTAACAATAAGAACGATGATCATTTACTCTACGCCATACAATGTCTCATTTTGCTTTGAAATGACTACAATCATAACTCCATAGTAAAAATTATGTATTAAGCCTTTTCGTCTGATTTAAAATATGTTCGTATTAAACAACAAAAGTGTCGTGTTGCTCCGAAAAAAGTATTGCAGATTAGGGGGACTCGTGACCCTTGCAGAATGTTACCGCAGGCCACAGAAGAACGATAGGAAAAGGTTCTCTTACCATTGGGAATGTAAAATAGATTCTCTATAAATCGAATTTGTAAAATTGATCTACAGAGACAAAACAACTAAAAAGAATGTATATGATTTCATTGATTTCGATATTTTACCGACAAGAGCAAAATTAGTAGAAAGTTGCGTTAACTAGCCCAGCTTTTTGCGGCTTTTTGTCGTAACATTATGATAGTATATGTGAAATCGAATCTCCTGCAAAACAATATACAAGGTGTCCAAAAATTATACCCAAATGACAAGGGTTTGACTCTTTTTTACCTTCACCGAAACACATAATAAAGAAGATCCATTTTTAAATTAGCTAAAAACGGTGAGACTTGTCTATTACTTCCCGAGAAATTGAACATATAAGACAAATTCAATGAGTATATACGAAATTTCATTTAGAGTGTATCAAGAATAAAATAGTAATTAACTAGTAATTAACTTTATCAAATACATTTTATTTAAGTAATATGGTTTCTTGACAGAGCACGTATTACTTCACTAAGAAACATTTTATATCAAGCACCACAGGCCAATGTCCATTGGATATAATATGAATTCAAAAGTAATCCTATCTAATTTCAATCTGGTTTCCTTACTCTTGTCTCCTCAGCATGAAACTGTGAATCTTTAGATGTCCAAAAACATGGAAAGCGAGTATAGTTGGTTAGGAATGAGTAAGGTCTACATTTTTGAATCCTAGAACCCGTATTCTGTTCATTCTCTCTATTGTAAACTTTGAAGTATGACACTGATTGGCAATTATAAGAGCAAGACTTAGATTGGATTGAATTAGGTTACCTTGTGTCTTTTTTAATGAAGACCCTGTATACATGCAGTCGCTAGAAAACAACAATCGTCATTTGTAGTTATTGTGATATCGCATACATTAATGTGATAATAGTCTATTCATTTTAATGTTTCATTAAGCCCCATTGGAATTTACAAAATGGCAGTTTAAAACAATGCGTAACTTTGTTGATTGTTATGATGTGTTGTTCTGTTGATAGTTTTATTGCCTATAACGGCATGTTTGCGAAACATGAAGTACAATTGAAACATATACATTTCAACACAAAATTAATAGTCAATTTATTTGTATTCTTTTCATTTTCAAACTGAATAGATCTATCTGAAATAAATTGAATATATCTGATGAATCTCTCGTATAACGAGCAGTAATTTAAAATGCACGTTGATTAACCACGGCCACTGAACAAGAGGCTTAACAAAGATGAATTTTTTAACTTTGTTACTTTGCATCGTTGCTGCCGCAGTCTTCCCAGAATTTGTCAACGGACAGGGTAAGCTACGATATCTGTAACATTTTAACCAAACTTATTGGAATTGTTTTGCTCTCAAAATAAATAAATTCGTTTGAAATCAAATAATTAAAAAGATGTGATCGGAGAATACCTGGATTTAAAAAAAATAAAATCGTAGTGAAAAGTTTGGGTTATTTCTGGGAAATCGGAACAAACAGGGATTTGTATAAGAAAATCAAATCGGGTGGAAATCGGGATTTCTATAATGAAATCGGGAGTAAAATCGGGGTTACAAAACTAAATCAACAATTCGAAAAAATGGATATAACGACATATCAATCTCAATAACAATAATAATTCTACCACCATTTACCATTTCACCATTTTTATCAATTTTGAAGGTCATTGTGAAAGATCACTTAATACCATTTTCGAGTTCATTACCTTATATGACAAAACATATGCTTGTCATAGAAACGGGAGGAAGGGGTCATCGGAGCTACCTATACCTTTACCGTAATTGCACGTTGCAACATTATTTCGTATGCCGATTTCCCTCAATAAAACATTCAGTTTAAGGAATTCTATACACACTATGACCCGAGAACAAAGATTAATTGTATAAATTGTCTTGCTGCTGTGAAATCACCAAACAATTTAAGAGAAAGGATGAGCATCAATAAAATAAGACATGTGTTCCATCTGCTTTTATTTAACAGAAAACATTCTAGATTGTGAAAGAGACCTTTTAAATGGAACTTGCCAAAGGAGGTGTTCACGTGGACAAGTATTAATGAGGGGATATAGATGTCGTAAGAGACGTGTTGCTGCGTGCTGTGGTAAGTTTTTTATATTATACATGTCAAGTTCTTAAGGAAGATATGGATGTTCTCATAGAAGACATGAGTGTCGCCGTGAGCTTATTTTATATAATATACATGTCAAGTTCTTTAGAGAATACATGGATGACCTCGTAGGAGACGTTTGTTCTGTGATAAATGTATTTATTTTATACATATCAGTGGTGATCCACTCGATTACGCTGGTTACCAAAACGGTTCGTTTCGGTAACAAAATGTCGGAACGTCGAAGGTATGCTTTTTCTTTTTTCCTTATTTCACGTGTCGTAGGCAGAACCCCCACATGCCTACAACGTGTGAAATAAGGAAAAAAGAAAAATCGCACCTTCGACGTTCCGACATTTTGTTACCGAAACGGTTAATCCAGCGTAATCGAGTTGATCACCAGTGCATATCAAGTTCTCAAGGAGAGACATGGATGTCGCCGTAAGAGACGTGGGGGCTGGGGTAAATTTATTTTATAATCTAGATATTAAGTTGTCAAAGGTCTATGAATACTAAACTTATAAAAGCTAATAGCCCAGTCAAACTAATGAGAAAAATAGCTTAACCCAAAACAAATTGCAATAGAAATCAAAATAGGTTAGTTATTTACATTTATTAACCTTGAAATACATACTAAAAATCTACCAAAATCGAAATAGTGGAACAATGTTAAAATTTGAATCGAAGATACCCCCTACCCCACCCCCTTCAATTTATGAGTGCAGGACTAAAAAACATATTTCTTAAAGTTGAGGTCTTATTTTTACATGATTTAGCTTGACCACAATTGGATATTGTTTTTCCTAGATAATAATATTGATTTAACAAAGAAAAAGTTCATTTGTCTTCTTTTTAACCCTTACAAACCCAGAAAATATAGAAAAAATCTCTCAAATTTTGCATATAATAATTTGAATACTGTAAAACAGGTATTGTTAGCGAGGGGTAATTGTTAGCGAATGTTAGCGATTGCTATAGTTTCGCTAAAAATTCATTTCGCTAAAATAAACCAGGGTTAAAATAAACCGGGCACTAAAATTTGCAAATTCCCGGGAAAATACATGAATACTAGTATTTAAGGAGCTTTTCGTTCAGTGCTCAACTTACAGTTTGTAATTTGAGATTAGTTTGGACCGAAAAATCAACGATTTTAAATGCTACCGTGATTTTGTGATTAGTCAGATGAGATTGCAGTAGTTTGGACCAATACCATGTGCGTTAGAAGTCTTACATTTTGATAATTCCTCTTTCATGTCCGTTATTCATTCTTCTGCCATAAATGATAAAATTTCTAATGCATTTCGCTAATTTGATTTTTTAAAGCAGATTAATCTTCATTTCGCTAAAATTTCCAGCGCTAAAACCCCCTAAAATTGAAAAATCGCTAAAATTTCCCGGTGTCAAAATTACCCGTTGTACAGTATGTGTTTTTATCATGATGGGACCTTCGAGAAAATGGCCTATAATTTATAACGATGGACCAACATTACATTTATTATTCCTTTGTAATATTGAAATGATAGGTCTATTGAAATTTGAGAAATAAACTTTTTGATACCGTATGGTTAGGCTACTAAAATGTAGGTCAGAAAATGAAATTTGTACAAATGAGAGGAAAAGGCACAAATAAGGTACCGTTGTAAAACTAATGACCCAATATTTTCAAATCCACTTGTTTCCCAGTCTCAAATTTGTTACCAATAATGTCAAATGCCAGTTTCCATAGCAACCATTTGAATATTGTTAATAGATGTAATACGATATTAGGCAAATTCCACTCATTATTCCTCGACTCAAATTCATATTTGTATCATAATGAAGCAATAAATATGCAATTAGCCCATATGCAAATTAGCTCATTTGCTAATTTATTATGACATCATATGATGTGTATTTTATCGTATCTAAAAAGGTAGGAAACTGTTGTCTGCTTGGCGGATGGGTGGTGTTGCATTTTTCTTGAAATCACGATTCCTGGAAAACCACTTAATGAATTCACTTCAAATTTTCACAAATGTTACATGGAAAGAAGTTCTAGAGCTGATTCACTTTTCGGTGGCCATGCATCTTGCATTCTGGCGGCCATCTTGGAAGTTTTTAGATAAATCTTGCCATCACAATTTTCAAAAAATCCCTCAACATATTCATTTCAAATTTTTCACATGTTACATTGTAAGAAGTTCTAGATCTTAAAATCTTTTCAAAAGCCATCTTGCATTCTGGTCCCCTTTCAGTAGCCATCTTGCATTGTGGCGGCCATTTTGGAAGTTTTTGGATTAATTTTGTCATTGGCATTCCATGAAAACCACTTAATGGATCAACTTCAAAACTTTACACATGTTACATGGCAAGATGTTCTACAGCTGATAAATATTTTGGTGGTCATGTTGCTTTTTGGGTAAACAAGCCCACACTGCTGATGTATTAGGTACAATATTGTTAACCCTGTGCCTTGTTCTACATTGTACTCATATATTTAGACACAATGTTGATTGGTATTGTAAAAGTTAATATTGTCACGCGGTAAACAGGATACAAATATATGTCATATTCCGCAACGAATATGGCATATCCAATTGCGGTGTATGCCAGATTCACCCGCGGTATATGGCATACACACTAACCAATGAGAACTTTAAATGGAACCAATCAAATCGATGCTTTCTGTATAATATTTTCATCTGCTGTATATGGAATATTCGGCAGTTGAGTGTATCGCATATTCACAAATATTGCACAACCATGAATATATGCCATGTTCCACATAACAACTATAAGAGTATGACTGGAATATGTAAGCACTAGTGCCAAAGGGTAAGCACCAAAACTTGTTCAGAACAAAGTAAAAAAAATTAAGTATACATCAGTCACAAGAAAAAGCAAACCCAAACTTCCAAAAACCATAAATATTGTACTTTTGAGGTTCCGACATTTTGTTAACAAACAAACCGTTTCTGTATCCAGCTTAATCGAATGGATCACCAGTGAAATTCAGACTAAATACAATTAAATTTACTGAAAGCTACTTGAATTCAAAATTTTGACACTGAAAAGCCAAGGTCATATTTTTGCGATTCTGACACTACACTTTCATAATATTCATCGAGGTTCGATGTACTGGTAGCCAAGAATATGCTAATAGCCTTAGCCTCAGAGGGTATATTGACCTACTTTTGAGATTTGTATGGAAAATAGGTCAGAGCAAAAAGTTCTAAATGAATGCAATGTTTTAGGTGTCAAAACACTGCGAAATTTCTGAAATCTGACTTTGAGTTTAGATTCTTTGATTTTTTGAAATCTCGGAAAGTTGACTTGATGATATCCTCATGTTAAGTCAATGGTGCGAACTTGATCAGCAACCCACTAAGCTTCTTAATCAGCTACTTACACAGCTACCTATATCATATTTATAGTGTATATATTATTAATAAGATTTCATTTTCAAGTCCATAAGGGTTATTGGTCTCGATTCTCCCAGTAATTTAAAAATAAGTGAAACAAATGAAGGCCTATCCCTATTTTTCAATTTGTTTTAAAAAATTATTAACTTTATATATATTTATATTATATTTAAGGCATACATTATATATATATGATTTCATTATAAAGTCCTTAGGGGTTAATGATCTAAATTCTCCCAGTTATTTAAGAATAAGTGAAGCGAATGAAGGCCTACCCCTAATTTTAATCGAAACTTATGATTTTTTTTCTCAACAACTAATAAATGCAAAATTCTCTTGCTTTGTATATGTATGGATTACATAACAAGGTAAAACTGGGATTTTTCTTATACATGATTGAGTCGCTTTTTAGGAATATAATGGCGTTCACATAAAATTACAGTGCGCATTTAATGCAAAATTTCAGATGAATAAGGGTTAAAAATATTCTTATTCACTCTGAATACCAAAGTTAAAGAAATACACAGATTGGGATACCTTATTACAAGCAAGGAATTGTAAAATTACTTTAAAAAAATTGCAGGCATTTGGAAAATAATTTTTTCCTTCGGGGGGTCTGTTTTTCAAGGGGAGGGGGTACCAAAAATGATTTTTTTACATGTTCCACTGAATAGATTTTGGTAGATTTTTAGTATGTCATTTCAAAAGTTGATATAAATTGAAAAAAACAACATTTTATTACTATTGCAATTAGTTTTGGGTCAAATGTTACTTTGACTGGACTATAAGAGTATATTTAAAACATACTACTATGTTTAAAAACAATTAAATGCATATGTCATATGTATGGATAATTATTGGCATGTGATTGAAGATATGCAACTCACTTTTGATTTTCCCTTCAACATGTATAACGAAGACTTCAGTATAAATGAAGTGGCCTTTGGTCTTATGATCTCAGGTTGTGATATTGATCTTGGGTGGTAAGGGGGAGAAGGGGATATTGGATACCATTTCTTTTAACGTCGGATTATGATTTACGATGATTGGGGTTTGTTAACCTTATGACTGGTATACTCCTTGATGTTTTTTATTTATTCATGTATTATAGTTATCTAGTGTTACATTTACGCATCAGATACCCATAGGGGGTATATCAGTGCATTATCAAGAATTGAAAAAAAAACATAAAAGTGTACAATCAATATAAGTAACTGTGTTATGTAACCATTGTTGGTACTTTCCCGTTGGTGCTTGCGCAAACATTCAAATAAATGGATGAAATATATATTTACTGTAGACCTGCAAAATGCGTGGCAAGGGTTCCTTTAAAAAATAAAGAATAGTAATTAAATAAGACATTTGACAATTAAATAAGACATTTGACATTTTTATTTTTCAGCATTTTGACACAACAACAACAAATTGTTTGTTATTGCGTAGTATGCATGGCAGTGCAAAATATATCTAAGCTAGTTCATACGTACTCAACTAAGAAGCTCCAGAGTTTTTCCTCGTGTAATTTCAGTGCCACTACCAACAACAACGACAGACCCATGTGGATTTCCCGACTGTGTTCCTATTAATGGCACTTCTGGTGGAGGTGTTGGCGCTTTAGATCCTATGGGCCCTGATTTTGACCCATTCGGTGGTGGGACCAGCGGTGAAGGAATTGGCGGTTGCCCACCTGGGTGTAAACCTGGAATAACTACGACGACCACCACGACTGAGACACCTGCTGGTGGTGATGTAGATGAAAAAGGACTCCCCATCCCTAATCCAGTGACGGACAATACAGCGTCCGAAGAGGCTCCTCTGTCGGATGATTTAGGTGATAATTTTGTACTGATATATTACACTTAACGATATTGTCAAGTTTACTGCGCGAGCGATGTACATGTTTCAAAATATATAAGGTACGTTTACCTAAAATAACTTTCAAATGTGTGGATTTTGAGACAATTTCTACGGAAAGCTATAGGGGACATGCGCATAATTCAAAATCGAATGGAGTTTTAACATGGGAGTGATATCACACACCGCGGCCCAGTCAGATAGATTTCATCGCGCACTGAATGAATTACAGGGGCCGCGTTGTGCAAAGTTAATTAAAATAAAGTGCGCAGAAATTCCGGCATTCAGTGCGCGATGAAAAAATGATTATCTGTGAATAAATAACGAATAAAAATTCGTGGCACCACGAATTTGATTTTTTTCGAAAGACTGCGGAGTGAACCAGCGAAATGACAATTTTGGATAATATTGATGGCTCTAACGAGGAGAACTTTGAAATTTCCCGATTCTACCGCGCAGCACATCCAGGACCATGATGCGCACTTTTATCAGATTCGATTCTAATATGGTTTCAAAGATAATGTTCATTAAAAGAGGGCGTATGCATACAGATTACACATGGCGTTATGTTGAAGTGACCCTTGCAAAGGGTTCCATTGAAAATATATTATTTTTGGCCATTTCATATCTTTTAATTGATATTGTATAAAATATTTTCAATGTTTGAAAATTATAATCTTATAAATAACATTTTATGTAATAAAACTGTAACGAAATGGTAAATACGGAATATGATGCAATACAATGCAGTGCAATATGATGTTATACAATGCAGTGCAATATGATGCAATACAATGTGGTGCAATATGATGTAATACAATGCGGTGCAATATGATGCAATACAATGCAGAGCAATATGATGCAATACAATGCAGTGCAATATGATGCAATACAATGTAGTGTAATATGATGCAATACAAAGCAGTGTTATATGATGCAAAAAATGCAGTGCAATATGATACAATACAATGTAGTGCAATATAATACAATAAAATGCAGTGTAATACGATGCAATACAATACAGTGCAATATAATGCAATACAATGCAGTGCAATGCAATACAGTGCAAAACAATGCCGTGCAGTGCAATACAATGTAGTTCATTTCAATACAATGCAGTGCAATACAATGTGGTACAGTGCAATACAATGCAGTGCAATACATCGCAGTTCAATACAGTGCAATATAATGTAGTGCAATGCAGTGCAATAAAATACAATACAGTGCAATTCAATACAATGCAATACAACACAGTGCAATATAATACAATGCTGTGCAATACAATACATTACACTGCAATAAAATACAATGCAGTGTAATAAAATGCAGTGTAAATCAAGACAATGCAATACAATACTGTGCAATACAAAGCAATACAGTGTAATACAATACAGTGCAACACAATGTGGTACAGTGCAATACAATGCAGTGCAATACATCGCAGTTCAATACAGTGCAATACAATGTAGTGCAATGCAGTGCAATAAAATACAATACAGTGCAATACAATACATCACAGTTCAATACAGTGCAATACAATGTAGTGCAAAGCAGTGCAATAAAATACAATACAGTTACAATGTAGTTCATTTCAATACAATGCAGTGCAATACAATGTGGTACAGTGCAATACAATGCAGTGCAATACAATACATCGCAGTTCAATACAGTGCAGTGCAATACAATACATCGCAGTTCAGTGCAGTGCAATACAATACAGTGCAATACAATACATCGCAGTTCAATACAGTACAATACAATGTAGTGCAAAGCAGTGCAATAAAATACAATACAGTGCAATTCAATACAATGCAATACAATACAGTGCAATACAAAACAATGCTGTGCAATAGAATACAGTACACTGCAGTACAATACAATGCAGTGCAATAAAATACAATGCAGTGTAATAAAATGCAGTGTAATTCAAGATAATGCAATACAATACTGTGCAGTACAATACAGTGCAATATAATACAATGCAGTGCACTGCAATGCAATGCAATTCAATATGGTGCAGTGCAATATATTGCAGTGCAATTCAAAACAATGCAGTGTAATACAATGCAGTGCAACACAATGTGGTACAGTGCAATACATTATAATGCAGTGCAATACAATACAATGCAGCGCAATACAATGTAGTACACTGCAGTACAATACAATGCAGTGCAATAAAGTACAATGCAGTGCAATATAATATAATACAGTGCAATACAGTACAATATAATGCAATAGAATACAATGCAGTGCAATGCAATACAATGCAGTGCAATACAATAAAATGCAGTACAATACAATACAATGATGTGCTATAAAATACAATACAATGCAATGAAATGCAATTCAATGATATGAATGTACACCTTCTACAGTCAAATAAACACAGATAAAATTGTGATAGTATGTTAGTGTATGGAGTTTGAAGTGGGTGGGGGATACAATTACCAGTCTGCTGATTGATGACTTAATAACTTAGAAAAGATCTCCTAGCTTTTAACAGGTGGCACTTATGTCTACCTTATGTTCTTGAACAATCTCGTCTAAGAATACAGACCCGTATCCTGAATTAACCTGGGGGAGTGGTTTTACCAAGGGGGAGATTTTGCCAAGAGGGGGAGCTTTTTGACAGTTATGGCACAAAAATCATGCGAAAAGTGCTAAGAATGGTGAAAAACTGCATGATTTTGAACGAATATTTGGCAAGGGGGAGGGGGATGAGGCCCCCTGGCTACGGCCATGGAATACATATAGGAACTTTCCTTCTCCCAGAAGAAATGGTATACAGGTATTACATCAATCATTCTGGTATTTTGTATACGAAGGTCTGTAGTTACTTTATTGAAAGATGGCAGTGTACACTGTGTACTACCATTTTGAGGTCAGTTTGACTTTATAATTCTGCGCACTATAATCTGTAATTCTCATAGATATCCTCTCCAGAGGCATCACTGTGATCCAAAATTACAATTTCGCAGGTCAAGTCTGCAGTCTTTCGAAAAAAGTTGAATTCGTTGTGCTACCCTTTCTTGTTGGGCATTTATTAACAGAAAACTATAATTACATCGCGCCAGCATATACAAGCTTCAGCGCGATATTTTGAGTATGTTAATAAATAAAGTGCGCAGAAATCGATCTTACTGGGCCGCGATGTGCGATATCACTCATAAACAATTTTTAATTGCGCACTGAATGAATTACAGGGGCGCGTTGTGCAAAGTGAATTAAATAAATAAAGTGCGCAGAAATATATCTGACTGGGCCGCGGTGTGTGATATCACTCCCATGTTAAAACTCCATTGAATTTTAAATTCTGCGGTATATCCCCTTTCGCTTTCCGTACAATTTCCCATGGGATGCGGGAATCACTTTTGCAGTTGTTTCTAAAATTGGGAAAATAAAAGTTCCCAAAGAAAAAAGCTAGATAGACATGAAAGGTCGATATGAAGAAAGATATACAGTTCTTTGGGATGAAATTTGGAGCAATTATTTTACATGTCATATTCTGAAATTAAGTTCAGACAAAAATAGAAAAATATCACAAGACAAATAAGTAAAATGACGAAAACCTGATTCAGCATCAAGATATCTAGCCAGTAAAAGCTTTAATTAGATCTTCAAGTGCTATGAAAGAACATAAAGTTACTTGATTGAGCACGCACATTTTAAATGAGTTATTTCTTAATGATATTATATTTAATACTAAGCTTGTAGTCGAAAATTAAACTACTATTTTATGACCAACTAATTCAAATATGAATAGTACCTGCAACTTTTATTTTCCATTCATATTTAAATGAGTTGGTCATAAAATAGAAGGTTAATCCGGTGGCTGCTAGCCGTTAGTTTCATTCACGAATACAAGCTTAGATTATTACTTTGTTATTCACATAAAGCATGTATAGATAGACAAGGTGTGTTCCATTCAAGTCAATCCGAACAGGCTATTTCAAATAACTGAATTGTATTATATAGCTAACAACTCATCTAATGCCATTTCTTAAATTATAGTTAAACTAATGCAACCTTAAACTGATTCATTTTTTTCGAGTAAAATTCTTTAAATAGAACCATAGGGAATATTAAGCCAATGGCTTATGCAAGTAAAATGGTAAGTGTTGAATGGTTGTCAAAGTGACAAATTGACCCTTGCAAAAAAATCCGTTATTCCTTTTTAAGTCATTTGGTATATTCAAAGTAATATTGTTAAAACTATTTTGCAATGTGTAAAAAGATGTTTTGCACGAAAACAAATCGGGAATATTTGAAATTCGCCACCTGATTGACACCAAAGCGTATCTTTGTGTTGACATCATATTTTTAAATGATTTAAGAGCTTACATAATTACATACAAATATAGATTGAACAGTTGAAGTAATATAAATCATGCTTGATAAATTCAACGAAGTAAATACAATGATGCGTGCTGCATTTGGTGACCTAAAAAATAGCTTTTATTTTTTTTAAATGGAGAATAATTCAATCAATCAATTTTTCTATAAAGTATAATTCAATAAATATCTAAAGTGGGATTTCTAGTCATAAAAAGTAACAATTGAATGATTAAACTTTATTTTTAAAATCTACACGTAGTCTTTAAAAGAATCGCCATATTGAAATCGTGAACGTTTATATTTCAACCCTGAGGTAAGTTTTTTACTATAATATTCACGTAAACACATGTCGTGTTTTTCGGGCAAATAGGGTCTACAATAAATTAGAGTAATATTGGCATAATTTCCCGGATACCTGAGTTACAGATCGTTATTTTGTCTCAATTTGAAAATAAACATTTTTTTTTTTGTAGTGTCAAGTGGAGCTGAAGAAGATAATATTGCATCGGCTGAGAGCGCAACAAATAACTCTCCTCCTCCTGGATTTGACGGGTCGGATAGCAAGGCTGACGATACGCCCGCTGAAATAAAATCGTTATTTGATGATGTGAAAACAATATCAGAGAATGATGCTTTGGAACGCGATTCGATTGGTAAGTCTACGAATTAGCCTTTCTTACCTAGTAGCATCAATAAATGAAACATCTTTCGTTTTAATGCCACAACTCACCTCTTGATAAAGATACTTAATACTTGTCCATAATTATGTACTGATGTCTTTTAATAAAACGTAGTGTTTTTTAATAAATAAATTCGTCTTTGCTTTTACAGTTAGGTCTGATGGTTTAACCGCGGACAGCATCCAGAAATCTGATACACCAGCAGAAAACAAAAATCAAGATGCTTTGATGGTCGGTCGATCGAATTCATTCACGAAGAAGTATTGGTACTACCCCCCAGCACCAGTCCGATGCGCTGGTCAATTGTTCGATCCAATACGCTACTTTTGTTGTTCCGGTAAACTCTACTGGAAGACATTCTTTTATCGTTATTATTGGTACAGTGGTGTGTCATATGTCGACGCTTGTTGCTGTGGAGAACCGTACAACTCGCAGATATCATTTTGCTGTAAAGATAAGGTGTACTCGATCGAAAAGATTGGTCGACCAGGTTATATCGGTTGCTGTAACGGCAAAGCATACAACAAAGACAAACAATTGTGTTGTGATGGGAAACTGTATAACAATGAATATGGCTGTAGTTTGAAATGCTGCGGCAGTAAAGCATACAGTAAGACAGACGCCTTGTGTTGTAACGATATACTAATTCCGCGTAGAGGTGACACCCCGATGTCATGTTGTGGAAACGGCGTTTTCAATCCAACAACGGAACAATGCTGCGGGAATTGTGCAAGTAAGCTTGTGTCGGGAGAGCAGTGTTGCGGAGAGGGCGTATACAAGCCTGCAGTCGAAATATGCTGTGGGGGAAAGGCGTATCCTAAGAATAGATACAACTCGTGCTGTTGGAATCCACCGAATGGAGTCGGAAGTCGTCCGTACGACAGTAGGAACTTTTTATGTTGTGGGAGCAAAGTGTATCGTAAAGTATTCGGTATTGGTACGAAATGCTGTAGCTGCTATATGAACGGGAAATACATTGCAAAGATATACAACTACGCCAAAAGTCGATGTTGCGGGTGTCGCGTTTACACCATGCCCAACCCCAGTTACACAAGTTGTTGCTGTAACTATAAATACTATTACTTCAATCGCTACTGCCCGTACTTCCCGTATTACTATTACTTCTCAAGGCCATATTACTACCACCACAATTACCCCACATGCAGACTTATAAACCCAACTCAACAGTCGTGCTGTAATGGTAATGTATTTATTAAGTTTGGACCCTACGACAGATGCTGTAACACTGCACGCTACGATCGGAGAACCTACATATGCTGCAATGGACAAGTGAGAAAGAGGGTGAGCCCAACGACAACCTGCTGTGGAACAGAGCCGTATAACTACCGTGAAAACACATGTTGTTACAACCAGGTAGATCCAACGATACACAATTCCATTAAAATCTGTCGTCTTGCCACACAAAATTATATTTAATAGCAATGGTGCGATTGGTCAAACGAAGCAATGTTTTTGATCTAAATACAATAGATGCATTGCTTATAATCGGAACAATTTGATTGTAAATTCGTTTGTAAACATTCCATGTATCTATGAAATTTGAATCATGGTTCTAGATGTGTCAATTAGTTGGAAAGGTCTTTCAAGCTCTAAATGACTAAGAGTGATGTACAAATTAAAATTTCGAATCATCACATTTCTCGTTCGTTTATTAAGGAGATACCTTTTTAATAGTTGGCAACAATGCATTGGTTACTGATGCGCATCCCATAATTAGAGCTTTTTAGTTAGTTCCTGAGTTTGGTTATTTTGAGTTTTCAATTAAAAGTATGAATATTACTTGGGTGCATCAAAAAGTTTTGCAATTTTGACTCTATCGTAATAACTATATTGAGTTATGTCATAATATTCGGCACATACAATGATCATACATTTGTGGACATACCTGCAAAATTTTGAGACTGGATCTTCATTTTTTAAGAAAAAATGGTTGTCATAGTAATATAAGAAGCGACCTCATGGTTCAATGCAAGTTTATTATTACGCAATAAACAGAATAAATGACATCAATTTGCCAACACCTTGTTTAGTCTCATATTAACAATTTTCTGCATATTAAAACATTGTTCTCAAATTCCTATTATCAATTTTCTGCAAACATTGTTCTCAAAATATTCAAAATAATTGCTCCCAGCTGCCAAACATTGTTGATGTCTGTGGACCCAGTCTCTGAAGACAGCCTGAAATCCCCTGCTGATAAAACAGCCAATCGCTTCCTCACGGCTGAGGCAAGTTCCTATTGGGTTTCAAAGCACATGCCCCTCAATCCCCTCTTCATATGACTGAACAAGAAGAAGTCGCATGGTAATGTGTCTGGGAGTAAGCTGCCTGTTGTTACACGCTCCCAATCCAGGTCCTCTTGAGCATCAATTGCCACCCTACTTGTATGGGGCCATGCGTTGTCCATATGGAAGTGGGGTTTGTAGCAGAAAGAGAAAATTTACTTGAAACAAAATGGCTGCCAGAATTCACAGGTTTTCCCCACAATCTACATCACAATGTAAATCCATATGTCATAATAGCCTTATGTGATGTCATCAGAACAATAAGAAATAGAAAAGGGGAATGAAAAGACACACAAACCTGTAATTTTGGTGACTGAATCATAATATAACAGAATATAATAGAATTTAAAATTAACATATTCTAGGTGGAACCGAGTACCCTCGGGTTCCGTTACCATAGCAACCATATCTTTTTACCCAATCACAGATTAGCAACCAAATCGTTACACACTATGTATAAATATATGATCTATAATTGTGCCAAATTTCAAAGCAAAGCTAAATGTATAACTTGAGATAGTGTCAAAATTGCAAAACTTTTTGATGCACCCAAGTACGTTCATTAGAGTAATTTGTATTTTCATATTGAATATTTAGGTTCTACGAATAACAGATGGCAAACGCTCGTGCTGTGGATATGAACTATACAACTATAAAACACAAAAGTGCTGTAATGGCATTGTGGTGCCAGGCGGGACCAACTTTATATGTTGCGGGAACAGGGCATGGGACGGCAGGATGTATGGATGTTGCGGCAATGAACCGTTTTATAAACCAAGCTGGAGTTGCTGTAATGGCAAGAAAGTTAAAGGTGGAGGCGATGATACGAGGTTGGCAAGACAGAATTTAACAAATAATTTTAGATCTAAAATTAAACGTTCATTGATAAATAGTTTAATTACTGATAAAACGTATACTTCATTTGAGATTTCGATCATACGTGAACGCATAACTTATATTTATGAGTATTCCCATACGGTATGAGTATAAGTGATTTGGAGTTTGGCGTTTCGCAAAAATATGTACTCAAACGTATAGAAATGTATATTTCATCAATCAATTAAGATGTTCTTTTTACCAAGAATTAATGATTCAATCGCTTTCTCAGCAAAATCCTTGTTCATAAGGTGGATTAAATATAAATATATCTTCATGTCAAATATCACTATGATTCTCTACCAAAAATAGTATTAGTTCACTTATAAAGAACGTATATATATAAATGGATGGAGCTGCGCAACAAGTGATGACGTAGTACACACATTTTATACGTTATAAACATAAGGGGTGTATAAAAACGCTTTAAGTGCAGTTGGGAAATTTCTCTATTAACACAATTCATGCATTGATGACACAGACTGAGCTAAATTTCCAGTTACCAAAGGGATTTTTGTGCAAGGATGTGATCATAGGAAACGAAATCAATTTGTTATTAATGTACCTCCTCTATAATGAAGGTATTCATTGATTGACATGCATTTTTTGATTAATATTTTCAAATCGTTTAATACCTTATGATTATGTGCTCTTCCCCTAGTGAAGTCAACTTTATTTTAATTAATCCTTTGAACACATCGAGACGACACATTTAGTTTATAGTTGTTTCTGTAATACGTGCATTGACAAAATTGTTGCCAATTTCAGATGCTGTGGACTAAAGACGTATAACAGAAACACTCATTTGTGTTGCTGCAGATGCATCCAACCTAAACAGTCCTCGCAACAGAGTTGTTGCGGCTCCCGCACATATGACAGGCGGAATGAGAAGTGTTGCCGTAACACTGAAACGGTTGTTCCATCAAATCAAATGTGTATTGCTGGGAGTTAATTGTTGTTGTTGGAAAACGTCGTGCCAGAAAAAGCAATACATGTAAATTCAAAATTTGAAATAAATGTGTACATTTATTTATGAAAGCCTCAATTACTTAAAATGCATATATAGAATAACAATGAGGCCCTATGCCGCTGGAGAACAAAATCAACACCCGTCTGTACGTCTTACATAGTACGATACAGGTATCCGGGTTTAGATATCCTTCATTGCAGCGGCCTTCCAAGGCACATTTTGTAACAGCAACACTGTTCATAGAGTACTTAAAGTGCCCGATAAAGTATAAAATGCGCATGCGTCCAGGTGTTGATAAACTATAAATAGCGAAAATCCAGGGTTTGTCACCACAAGGTAAGCCAGGACGTGTTGAGAGAACAGCTAGTGTTGATATTGAATTTATATGTAGCCAGATAAGTTTCCTTATTGAAATTACATATGGTTATTAGCAATACTTTGTAGGTGCTAAATAATAAAATATTTAGAGTATATATGAGAGGAATTGGTCATTTCGAACCTGTTGAAAAGTTTGTGGCTCTCGGCTACACCGGGGAATTTACTTCCATGAGTACACACATAAATGTGGGGTTCCCCAAGAGGTACGCGACAAGGTGACCTGGCATCAAATGTGCGACTAAATGCTACTATCGAGAAGATAAATTAACGAATACGACAATAAGTTATTGAATGTGACAATTCCGAGCCTTCATCTCACTGAAGTATTTTGAAGTGAAAATAGGATTTTTGTTTTGATACATGGATTCAGATGAACGTAACTTTATTCTGACAACTAATCAAAACTGAACAAAATTGATTGTACGTAACAGACAATTTATTGCTTCTATGAATGTACATCTCTCTGGTAGTAATGTACAAAGTTGTTGATTTTCTTTCTCAGAGATATTTATTCTTATTTTTGACGTTTCGTAGGATGTCCATCCTACTTCTTTTGAAGAAGTAGACAATTTATTGTTTTACAATGTTTTGATTGGCTAAACGAATGAAACCAACAAATTATGACATGTATTAATCTTCACAATTTTGATATGTAAAATTTAAAAGTTACAAACACAACCTCCCTATCCACTCTTTGGGAACCCTAGTAAATTAGTAATATGTACATGCAGCAGTGGTAGTGTGCAGCTTATTATCACACTACGCTTTGTATTCTAAAGCCTGTTGTTTGTAATAACACTGTTCACTCAACGTATGTTTTGTGTGTGGGCAGTCAACGATAATCATTGTTTTATCCCGGTTATATGACCTCGGCAATTATAACAAAACCGTACTAAACGAAAAAACGCAAATAAGAGAAAGCTTTCACACACATATAAAAAATGAACTAGTCTAATCCGCCAGTATAAACTCTGTGCTATACGTAGCCGGGTCAGGCGCACACTTTAAGATATGAGTTGCATTTTCCAATACTTATATATGTCCCACACATGGTGCATGTGTGAGATGATTGTAACTCTACTAGTAATTGTAAATGAGTATACACAAAAATGTGCTTTTGCCATTGTAACGTTCGATAATAACAGAAAGTAAAAACAGCAAAATATTAAGCCCATGACTCAGTGCAATGTTGAATGTCCATTCCTTGAAGGTGTTGCTTTCCAAAACGATTTTAACGTTTCAAGACAATTCGAGTCCATTGTGATGAATCACGTGATCACTAGTCCAGTCACAGCCTCTAGTCAATATCACCAGGACTGAAACACCTTACACTATCGCCACTTTGTGAGGCCTTTATACCAGAGTATAGTGCTGATACAAAATAATAAAGGGTGAGTTTTCAAACTAGACAGAGTTCTATCAAAATGGATTCGCCTATATACCCCTGAGACTCTTATCTGATCGATAGTATGCACAAATAAAATAAAAGTTTTGCTGTTATACAGGTAAAAAGTTCTCTTAAAATTTCGAAGTGATTTTACCTGCAAATTCTGTCATTGGTCCGTCATTTTTGCGGAAGTTACACTGAAACACAAACTCTATGAAACGAAACGAAATCACTAGAAAAAGACATTGCACACATCGTGATTCGTGAGCATGCGCACTAAAAGTTTAAATCAATCCGATTATTTGATTATATTGCACACATGAATTATTTACTTCTGAGCACTTAGCTAACCATAAACAAACCTGGCGGAGATTACCTGGGCCCTTACTTCATTTTAGCGAAATTTCAGCTCAAACTCGTGACAAATGCATTATGCATACGTTGGTATGACGCCTTGGAGACACTCATGGTAAATATGATTTACGGTGTATACTTTTCTGCAGTTTGGGGGAGTTTGGGACATTTAGATGTTGTAATTCAAGAAAACATGCGACTTATACGACTTATCAATAAGTATCAGCACTGTTGCACTAAACTATAGTTTAGATTAGAAGGCTTTTATTTTACCTTATTAGCCTAAACTATAAAATCTTAAATGTAACTATAATATATATGAATATTAATATATGCGTTTTGCATCACACTTTAGCGCCGTCTAGCCGATATAGTGTATAAACGTTTGACACATTGCATATTTCTAAACTTACTCGAGTCTCTAGCCAATATCCTAGATGCGAGTAGAAATAATCTTGATTTACGTCATTAAAAATTGACAATTCAGTCAAACTGGTGTCATATTTGGAATCTACATGTGAAATTACATCTAAAAATGTGGTTATGAAAAGAGTTTATCAACTTTGAAAATTTAATTTTCTTTGAAAATGTGAGTTCTTGGTCGGTGAGATTCCCAATAGACCCCATGTTGTAAAACTACAAAAAGTGAAATATCTTTTCTTGTGTTGGGCAGATAATATTTTCTTTTACTGGACATATTTTAATTTGTATAACTATCACATAGATAAGGGTAATTTGAAAAGTGAACCACTAAAACTGATGCATATTCAAGTTTAAGGAAATTTTGTAATACCCTGTCATGTTATTTCCCCCAAATCAGCCACCTGGTGGCGAAACTGGTAACTACCTACTCGCATCTGAGTAATTACACGACACTGTGACCGAAGAATAAGGTAATTCTAAACAGACTCTTTCAAATAAAAGATGTCAGGCAAATTCATCTAATGCGCAACGTTGTGGATGTTATGTTTAACATACTAGTATTCTCATTTACAGAAAAAGTCCATAAAGCGAGGCAAAACACAACTTGGTCAAGCAAACAAACAAATAAACAAAATACGATTATTGTCAATGGAATTTCCCGTTTTCTGTCCGACAACGTAATTTAATATAATGTTGTAAAGATGTGAAGAAACAAATATAAATTGAGGTAATACACAGCCAATTTAATTTGGCACCATTTCTGCATCAAAAACATTCGGCGCTGTTCCGGCACCGTTTCGGCACCGAAACCTTTCAACACCAAAATTTGGCACAGGACAAGTCCAGGGGCGGATCTGGGAACCAACAAGGGGGGGCAAACTTCTGGTCTGATAAAAAAAAGTTCCGCGCGGAAAAAAAATTTGGGCCCCTAAAACCAAAGAGTGGGCCCAAATTATGAGGCCCATTTTCTTCAAAATTTGGCCTAAAATTATAAAATAAAGCACAAGAAGGCTCATTTATGACCAAAAAGGCCCACTTTTTGGGGCATTGAGGCCTTTTTTGGCTCAAAAATTTTTTGGGCCCAATTTTTTTTCTGGGCCCACCCAGGGGGGGGGGGGGTGCCTGCCCCCCCCCCCCAGATTCGCCAGTGAAGTCCGTCCATTTGGTGCCGAAACGTCACCGAAATTAACCACTAAGGGGAAAAGCAACAGCCCTAAATATCTGATATATACGAGCAATAAGCGGTACCACGTCCTCGTCCAACAGTTTATATATTTTTATTTGTTGTAATACACATTTGACATGGTAACTAACAAAGTTCACTCCCCTCCATAAGTTTGGCAAACAGAAGTTCAATGTTGGATCTTTTATCAATGACATTTATAGTTTTGCGATTTTAAAACATCAAACAATGTTATACATTTCCATAAGTAATAGATGGACAGAATCGGAATCAAAAGATCCGAGGGATTTGATATTTAGAGGTTATGTCACTATCGTGGCATATATGCCCGAGGTCTCAGTGATATATGGCCCGACCTTGGGAGGGACATTGATC